TCTCAAAGATGCTGCAAGCAGATAATTACCACGACCTCTATATTTTTCCTTCGACACGAGAAGATACTCGGATCAGAACTAATTTATTCACAGTTATCCACGCGTCATTCCCAAGCTTCTCTTTGTCCAGATGCGGCTGACACGAGCAACGTTTTCTCCACGTTACGGAGCGATCCGACCGCTCGCCCAGCGCCGTCCTCAGAGACAGCTGTCGTCTAGCTGCAGCACCAAGTCAACGCACCGTCATCCGATTCATCCAGGGGAAAGAGTTTGTTGCTGTGAGCCGTTTCGATGGTGAGTGATTCGAGCAGAGGCCATTCCACAGCCACACAGGCAGACAACAGGATGACTGCTAGGAGCCGCTTTAAATGTTTGATATCTGCACTTATTTAGCGGCAAACCACTGATTAGAGTCAGGACTTGAGTGTGTTCAAGCTGACACACGTAGTTTCCTTCAGTCTTGTTCAAGGTTTTCTCTTTTTTTTATATATCAAGGTCATCTACCACCCAGGTCGCCTCTGCTTTTGTAAATAAAATCCACACCGCTTTCACTTGTGAGTCCAAATGATTGACGGGACCTGGTGTGTGCAGTGGCCAGCAGCTGGATGCTGCTTTTTTTATTTATTTTTTATTCATCTTCTCTTCCCAGAGCTGCTGGATTTTCAGACTGCGGCTGACACAAACCAGCAACGTCCCCTGAGTGGGTGCATGAGCTGACTGCATTCCCATATATATTGAATGCTCCAATGACAACAGCATTAAAAAAAAAAGGAGCAGAACCCGGGAAGGAGAACTCTTGCAGGCTGTCATCCATCATGCCAAAGGTTTGTAATTGTGCCCTGCAGTGCGTGAGGCAGACACATGAGGAATAATAATAATAATACAAATAATAACAACGCATTCATAGGCCGGCACCAGACTGTCATGGGGACAATGTGATTGCACGGATTATAATCCAGAGGTGCCACTGATTATTACACCTCACATCATCCGAACGACGCCCCTTTCTTATATTGCAATATTCTACATCACATACGAGGCCGTTTTATGTTGAAGTCATGGCAGGCCACATTCCCCTGATGACCAGAAGTCACCGCTTCCAGAGCATCAGCGAGGCGCACATCCACAGAACCAGTAACACCAACAAGATCTGCGGATACAAGCGGATTCTTACCAGTCGCCGTGATTTGGGCGCATATGTTCGCATCCAGCGGAGACAGGAGTCAGAGCAAGATTTGATCCCCTCCCTCTGTTACATATGGATCTATAGGTCCCCGGTCATTTCACTTGCTGCTGCCGCCGCTCCGTTCATTCTCGCTGCTAGAACACAAACACACGACGCGTCTTCCTGGGAGACAGCGGGGATGGGGAGCAAGAAGGCTGGAGAGCGCGCGAGCTGCGTGCTCGGGATCCAGATCAGGAGGAGGAAGCGTCCGTCCGAGTGCGCTCCCGAAGCAGTCCAGAGGAGAGAGCCGGAGGAGGAGGAGGAGGAGGAGGAGGAGGTTCTCCTTCTCTCTCTCTATCCGTCTGTCTGTATCCTCCCTCCCTCCCTCTCTGCGTGTTCCTCTCTGGGCCGCCTTTATGTTTCTCACTCACTCCTGCTGGAGTCCAGAGGCGCAGAGAGAGCGCAGCGGTGCGCGCGTGTGTGTGCGTGCGTGTGTGAGGGGATGTCAGAGACAGAGAGAGATGGAAGGACGAGGGGGGGGGGGGGGGGGGGGGAAATGACCAACCAATTTGAGGTGAACGCTCGGCTGATCAGAGCGCGAGCGCGGTGGAAGGAGCCGAGGGTCGGTGGCGTGGGTCTGGTGGGAGAGAAGGAGGTGATGATTCCTGCCTGGGGTGCGCGTGGAGGGGAGGCAGGAAGAGAACCAAGTGGGTGGGGTGGGGGGTGGTGAAGAATGAAGGGGGTGTGGGAAGGTGGGGGGTGTCTGGTGGAAAACACGGAACTGGAACTCGCTCCCGAATTTTGAACGGAGGGCTCCACCTGCCGAGGGAAAACACGCACGAGGAGCAGGAGTCCTTGTTCCCGCGCGATGGGGTGGAGGTGTGGGTGGGGGGTGGAGGTGGGGGTGGGGCTCAGGCTGTCCTCCAGTTGGTCCACCCAGGGACGCTGCTCTGGGTGTACACGGCGGGGCACCTGCCCACCCCATGGCCATTAATTAAGACAAATAAATACAATGATAACTTGTAGTTTCTCAACGAAATAATCAAAGTAAATAATGTAACTTATCTTGGTGTTAAACTGTTGGCGTCAACAGCTGCTTGAATTCAATACAGTTGAGGCAATAAAAAAAAAGCATAGACAGAGGTGACCAGTTTACATATGTGATGGTGGCCATCTTGGATTTGACTTCCACCAGTGACCTTTCTTATGAAGCCACACACCAACATGGAAGTCTGTACCACTTACTTTTCAAGTTCTCTTGCTCGCAACATGGACGGACGGTATATTCCACCTCGGTTCTGTAATGGAGGTCAGTATGTACCAACACATCACAGTTGTTGACTGGTTCATCCAAAGCAGCTCTTCTTTGGACATCTCTCTTTTTGAACCATTGTCTATCACTTGAGCTCAGGTAAACACACTCACATGGAAGGAAGCTGGCATCCAGTCACATATTTTGCTTACATTTTTTTATTCGTGTATTCATTCAAAATAAACACAACTAATTTGTTAAAAAGAAACGAAAAATGAATGAAAAGGGTGCAGAAAAAAGAAAAAAGAATTCTTATAATATACATAATTATAAAAACATATCCCAATTTTTTAAACAATAGTGATATCTTTTATTTTTAAAGTGAAATATGCATTACTGAAGCCTCTAAATCTTGAGAAACAAATAATCTGTTGTGAGGTGGAGATGCCGTACAAGTGAAAGACCATCGCGATTAGGACTGAAAATGAAAATTTATTAATAAATTCACACTGTAGGACGAAGACAAAATGAAATTTGAATGCAAGCTGAGGCTTAAAAGGTCATCAGCCTTTTTCTCTCTCTTTTAAAGCCCTGTTTTAGAAAATGTAGCTTGTAGCCCAAGTTAAAATGAATAAATAAACAAATAAATAAACAATCAGCTACAAAAACAATCCACCTTAATTTAACATTAATCCTCATGACGCATGAACGTATGAGCATGTGTCCCAAAATCAAAGTGTGCAGAACATGTTACACATGTAGGTTTAACATGTTTTCACATGTGAAAACCTCATTTTCCTCATGTGAAGTTAGAGGTTTTTTTCTGTAAGAAATAATTGCACAGTGCTAACATTTGTAAATCATTCTGCTTTTATTAAAATTTACCATCAAAAGCAAAGCACTATTGTTTTTGCTGTTGTTTATGTGTTTGTAATGGTCTCTAGTATTTTTCTAAAGCTACCGTTTGGTGTGGCCAGTAGCTGGTACTCATTCCCAACACATGCTCAATATATTCGCTGTGCACTTTGATATTAAGTGTTGGAGTCAACCCTGTCTGTCTGTAAGTGAATTATCCCATAATGGACATATTGTAAAGTAATGATCAGATAGTTTCACATTTAAAACATTCACTTTTGGAGTCAACCCAGTTCAAAATGGCTGCCACAGCTAAGTGACTTTGAAAAACCGAATCTTGGCTACAAGTCAGTCAGATTTATAAAATAATGATCTAAAGAGGACTGAAAGTCATCCTGGATACATTATCTGAGCCCCAACGCATCTTACAATATGGACAAGTCTGCATATTTTCATTTAAAGGGTTAGAACAGCCTATATCGCCATCCATCCATCCATCCATCCATCCATCCATCCATCCATCCATCCATCTAGCCATCCATCCATCCATCTTTACTTGCTTCTTCCTTTCCGGGTCACGGGGCTCACTGGTGCCCATGTCCAACAATCACTGTGCGAGGGGCGGGGTACACCCTGGACAGGTCTCCAGTCCATCACAGGGACACTTAGAGACAAACGACACAAACAACCATTCACTCTCTCACTCACACCTAGGGACAATTTAGAGTTACCAATCAGTCTAACACGCATGTTTTTTTGTCTGTGGAAAGAAACCGGATTACCCGGAGAAAATCCACGCAGCACAGAGAGAACATGCAAACTCCACCCAGAAAGAGCCCCAGCTGGGATTTGATCCAGTGACCTTCTTGCTGAGGGCCAGCAGCTCTACCAGCTGCGCCACCGTGACATATATCTCCGTCTCACTTTAGCATAATATGATCGTTTAAAACACATGGCATGAAATGTGATGGGGGATATGCATTACATCAATGAACAATAGGCATTTCATTAAATCTGGTTATTGTTCTGTTTCATTGTGAAAACAATCAAAAGTTATGTATGTCTATTAATCTGCTTTGATGTCCTAAAACAAACTACATCTTAATCTAACGTGCACAATATTCATATCTGTTTATCAGTAGGCCGTACCTTAACTAATGTTGTTTAGATTTATTTGAATGTCTCAGAAAGAACATTATTTTATTTCCATTTCACTTTTACAAAGAACAGAAGACAGCATCAATTAACAATATGAAAGCATTTATAATAATATATTAATAATAATAATAATATAATAATAACAATATATCTGCAATAAAAATAAAATATAATAATAATAATTATTTTACTATTGTATATTAATAATATATTAGTATGAAAACAATGACACACAACTAGTTAAAGTATCTGTCCGTCCATCCATCTTGTCACAGATGACCCGGACGTGTCTTTTCCCCGCAGCACCCCACAGGGATGAGCTCTTTGTGCTTGAAGATCACAGGGGAGGAGGAGGGTGATTGCGGGGGGGCATGCGCACTGCGCGGTGCGCTCTCAAGCTGCTCCAGCTCAACAGCGGGTAATAGAAGTGCTCGCCTTTTTTTATTTTCTTAGATTTTATTTTTCCACCTGTTGGGACTGGACTCCTCAGTGGGAGTTGGGGGGGGGGGGGGGTAACCTGTTCAGTTCTGTACAAGTGATTTTGTCCTGCTGCAGGAGGAGGAGGAGGCAGGGAGGGGGTTTCTGCGAGTGGAGCTGAAGGGACCTGTTGATCGTCTGGGATGGAGGTGAGACAGAGCTCTCTGCACCTTTTGATGTCCATCTGGTCGTCATGGAAATGGAGCTAACATACACAGGTTGTGCTTGTAGAAACAGGGCAGCATCACGTGTTGCACATTAACAGATCTAGAAGATGTCTGTGAGTTTTATATTAATAACCTTTCTGTTTATCTTTAGAAAAAAGAAACATAAATTTCATGCAGCACCATCATGCAGGACATACAGGCAGTGCCTGATGGCCATCAATGGATCCTAATTAGATTTCAGATGAGACGTTATCATTTCCATGCTATCGTTTTGCAAATCCAATCATGTCACTTGTGTCATGCTTTGAAGCTATACGGACTCCACCACTACCCCCCACCCTCAGTCAAAATGGTCGGAAGGCCCTGTGTCGCAGTTAATTATCATCAGTGGCTGATAAAGCCTTTTGGAGGAGATTTAAATCCCGCTAAAGAGCATTAGGTGACAAGCAAGGCGCTTGCAAGCAAACAGGGGACAGGCCCTGAAGGAGAAGAGATGTAGGAGAAAAAAATGATACATGCTGCTGAACAGATGTAAAATAATTACTTGTATACTAATTATTCATCTGCACAAAGAGGAGGGGGCAAACAAAGTGCTGCTTGTAACTAAAAGGTGTCCTAAAGGAAAAACTTGTTTTGAAACTACATTGTTGCACGAGTGTACACAAACTGTTCAAAATGGTACAATTTTATTTAAACTTTTTCTTCTTTTTTTGTGTTGCAGGAGCCAAACAGCCAAATATGACCTTAAACTGAGTCACAAAGGAGGATTTGTATGCCGGCACTCTGTCAGGGACCAATGGAGATCATGGGTAAGTCTGTTCAGAATCCTTCCGATGCAGAGGTCACTTTAAATCCAGAAATGTTGCATTAACCTCAGTCGGACTCCCCGGATCCTCCGTTATCAGAGGCTTACCATCAGGACAGGTCTGCATGTTGCCAGACAGGAGGGAGTAGTTACATGTGCAGGTGGCGCTGGGCTCACGCTCCCGTCAGAACTTGGTGGAGAGGAGTTTACATGGTTTTAGCCTTCTGCCACATACAATTACTGCCACTGGGGCTTGTTCTCATTAGCTGCTACTCTGCTAAATGAGCAAAGACAACATGACCTGATGCAGCAGCCAGCTTTTGTTCTGTAGTCTTAGCAGATAATTTCATGATTTTACTTTGGGCTTTGTCTCCGGCCGCAACACAAACTGAAAATTAAAAATGTAATGAAAAGACAAAATCACAGTAGCAGCCTTGGTTTGATGGCTTTTTTCAACCACAGTTTTCTTTACACCATCCCCCAAAGCAAAGTTATTTTTTTATTCTTTACTCCTTTATTTTCTCATGTGTGTGTCTACGTGTTGTACATAAATATTAAAGTTTGACTTTGTATTGGAGTTACCCAAAAGCTTTCACAACAACCAAATATTAGTTCAACATCAAACCAAAAAAAGTTATGTTTCTAAAAGTATTATGTCACTTGGCAGAAACTATTGGACACGAGTTGACAACTGAAGTTACATTAAAAAAAGCTAATTTTCTGTTGCAGTCTCAATAAATTTTGAATATTTGCAACCAGTGAGCTATGCAAAAGTGTTTTTTTTGTTGTTGTTGAAAATAATAATATTAATGTGTTATGTGTTGTCATCATGGTATGATCCCATACGATGGCGAAATTGGCTCTCTGCATTTAACCCATCCACCACCAGGTGGAGCAGTGGGCAGCTATTGAAAGCACCTGGGGAGCAATTGGGGATAGGGTGTGCTGTTCAGAGACACCACGAGATGTGCAATGACTGGGGATCGAACCTGGACTTTTGGGTTCCGAGTCGGCTGCACTGCCTGTACACCATATCGGCCCAATCACTACATATTTTTATTTGCACAGCTTGTAAAACTATAATCTAGGCCATATCCTGATGATCCTCAATAATCCAGGTAGAAAAATCTAAAAAAGTAAATCTGGTCCTCTGGGACATTATTTGCTGCTGTTGTTACGCTGTATTGTTTAAACTTATTAGTGTTTAGTGTATATCTTAGTTTATATCTTAGATCATTTTTTAATGTTTCTTTTTACACTTTATATTTTTGCTATTGTTGGATGAAACTGAGACCCTGTGTACACAATTTAATTCCACCTCATGTACCACATGTGGTGAAATGACAATACAATAAACCTACTTGAACTTGATACCCACTTTGTTCCCACCCTGCCAACTGTTGCCCACATGTTTTTGATGTATTCTGTTGGAGTACATTTTTTAAATATGAGTATTTAATACTTGATCAGGTTTTTAAAATAACAATTATTATTATCATTGGCACAGATTTTACATCTGGTCTCCAGACCATATGAATCACCTACTAACATTATTGAGCCAACGCACTGGCTTACCTTTTAATATACGCTGTAACTACCTTGCTACACAGCACAAAGTTGCATCATGGGATGTGCGGGTTGGCTTCAACCCCTCGTACTGTCTCCGTCCATTCAGAAATCCCACAGAGATGGTCAGGTGTCTAAGTACCAGCTTGGTGTCTGGTAAAAGCATCTTATTTGTACCTCACACATGATACAATTGACAGTTGAGGTCTATATAGATGTCATGTATTGAAGGTTTTTTTTAGTTGTTCATGGACTCCTCTTTACACCAAATACAGGAGATTTGTCCCATTGTCCATACTGTGGGCAGAGTTGACTTCAACCATATCTAGTTGCTCTCACTCATTGTCCTGCACAAGCTTGGGCTTTTTCCTCACCAGTGATGTTCCATGTCCACGAAGCCAGTTTCAGCATCTGGGGACTGGACCACCATTCAATATCCAACAGGACCTTTGTGGTAGATAATGGATGATGGCCAACTTCAGGTTGAGTTTGTGCCACTGCCCCAAGTGAAGGAGTACAAACATTTTGAGGTCTTCTTCACAATCATTGTAGAGCAGTGCAGGGTAGTGATAGACAGAATGTGATGTATGCAGTTATGTAAATGCTGTACCAGTGTGTTGGGGTGAAGAGAGCTGAGCTGAAAGACAAAGCTCTCAATTTACCCATCAGTTTATACCTCAACCATCACAGTCATGGACTATGGCTTTTGAATGCAAGTGGCTTAAATAAAGTTCAAGAGTTGCTGGACTCACCTTTAGGAATAAGAATTAGAGTAGATGTGCTGCCTATCTGCATCAAAAGGAGTCAGTTGAAGTGATCTGCACACCATCCATGGGAGGTGTTTCAGACATGTCCCACTGGGAAGAGATGTTTGGGCCAACATAGAACCCACTGAAGATCATTTATTTTATAGCTTTATATAGAGTTGGAAGAGGTAGTTTATAAAAGGGAGGACTGGTGAAATTCCTTGACCCTGCATCTACAATATGATCAAGTGGCACTAAATGGATGGATGGATGGATGGATGGATGGATGGATGGATGGATGGATGGATGGGAGATCTAAGCAGAAGAGCTTACTTACAACAGAACAACCCAAAAAAACAAAGAACCAGTGTGTTCCATGTTAACTTCAATAAATTGAAGCAACTCTCAGAGATTATGTAATCATGTTTAAGGTCATACAGCATGTTAAATGGTTGCAATAGCTGATTTTAATAGCTCATTCATAGAGTGACATTATTTTTAATCACTGCATTTAAATTTAAAATATTCAGTTATACCAGATATTAAGCCATGTGTTACTCATCATTTAACTACATAATTTATAGGCTGGACAAGGAACAGATGGTTTTCTGCTTTGTGTCACACAAATGTAGGACCTTAGACTTAAATAAGGTACATTTTCTTTTAATCAGGGCTGTACCATTTCTCCACAGATGCTCAGTATGCCTTGGAAGCTGTGGAGAGACTTCAAGCCAAATTGAAAGAGAGAGGAGAGGCACCAACTCAAGAGAAACTATCCCTGCTAAAGACTGTTCTCCAGAGCCCCCTGTTTCTTCATATACTCAGCTTGCAGCAAGCCCAGCGGAAGCCCCCGGCAAAGGTATGGATCAAGTGTTACTGCGTGGGTGTTTTTATCGGACTGAATGATGAGGAAAGAGTAGGAATTCTCACAATACTGAATGCCAGAACCAAACTAAATGAGTAATCAGCTTGTCTGGTCTTACCGCTAAAGCTCTGAGTTTGACAGAATGGGGGAGGATGGCAGACCTTTTCTGTGTTACTGTCACAGGTTATGATCACATGTACAGTGCGTGTCTTCCCAATCTCTCCATGGTTCCCCTCTCTAACCTGCTGGAACTTGTTATATACACCGCTGAGGGTCCCCACTTAATCTTTGCGATCCTGCAGGTACGCCTGTTGTGTTATTCACAGGGCAATATGTCAAAGTACCACACAATACAATATAATACAATACAATACAATACAATACAATACAATGCAATACAATACAATACAATACAATACAATACAGTACAAAATACTTTATTGTCCCCTTGGGAAAATTTGTTTAGTAATTTTTGCATTCTCAATATTTGCCTTTATACACCCAAAGAATAAATAATAGAACTATTAAAACAGGTCTATGAAATACAAAGAATAGATGGGCAACATGTAGGTCTGTGAACAATTAGACTGTATTGACGGTTTAACAAAGCAGAGTGATTTAGTATTGCGTATAGGGCACATTAAAGTGTTGAGTACTTATTAAATCTCTGTTGTACTTGGCACAGTAGCCCAAAGTGATTAAACTCTTTTCATAATGTAATTTGGCTATATGATTTGTTATATCTTTTTTCAGTGCTCTTCTTTTACATAGCAAAATAGAATTGTTGCATTTTGTTGCTGTGTAAATATTCTGCAGTCCATATAGAGTTTCAAGAAAAACTTTGGAGTCATCAGGATCCCTGCATAAGGTACCCATCAAATGTTTATTGATTCTAATCTGAGTAACTTCTAGAAATGGAAACATTTAAAAAGCAAAAAGAACACACACCGTTTTATACCTTCACTCAAAAAAGATGTGACACTCAGTGTTTTCAACAATATTCAGTCAGGTCATCTGGGCGGTTTCTTTTTTTTCTTTGCTGAGACATTTTGTCCTTCATCCAAATGATTTCTTCAATTTGAAGAGCCAGCCACCAACAAACTGAGTTCTACCACAAACAGCACACTCCCATAGTGGAAAATAAACAGTTTGCTGGTGATAAGACGGTCTCCAGGGCCTGTCCTCTCCCCTGTCAACTCCTCTGAGGCAGCCATGCCAAAGTGGTTCAAAACACTAAAGTTCATGCTCAACAAGCCAGGTAAAAATCCAACAAGGTTCAGTCAGGTCATCTGGACAGTTTCTTGTTTTGCTGAGATGTTTCGTCCTTCATCCAAAGGACTTCTTCAGAACTTTTGTGTTTTGAACCACTTTGGCATGGCTGCCTCAGTGGAGTTGACTGGGGAGAGGGTGCGCCCTTGAGGCCATCTTATCACCAGCAAACTGTTTTTGTTTTTTTTTCCACTATGAGAGTATGCTGCTTGAAGTGGGACTCAGTTTGTTGGTGGCTGGCTCCTCAGATTTAAGAAGTCCTTTGGATGAAGGACGAAACGTCTCAGCAAAAAAAGAAACAGTCCAGATGACCTGACTGAACATTGTTGGATTTTATACCTGGCTTGTTGAGCATGAACTTTGGAGGGATGTGTATTCTTGAATTAATGTTTTTGTATTTACCAAGTTGGACAGAGGGGATTCACGTGACATGTTGACAGTTTTAATATTCTGTAAAGAGGGGCACATTTTGGTAATTGGCAACATTTTAAAAATACACAGTATAAACAATGCCTCAATCACACAAACTACAGAACATTAGTTTGACAGAATTACACCAAGCCAAATATATATATATATATATAAATGGCCTTGTAAGCATTTTTGCCTTTTGAAAAGGGCTGTCTAAAAATGGACAAACACAAAACCTTCCCAAGGAGAGGACATTTTCTAAAGCTCCCAGGGGAGCACATTATTCCTGAAACAGGTGCAATAAACCCAAGAGGTAACAGCAGAACACATCAAGACACATTTTAAATCTTTGCTCACGTGTCAGCTCAATGAAAAGCCCAGATAAGAATGATGTTAATGGAAAGACGTTTTACTATCTGTCGTATAACTTGAAAAGGGCCGTAAAATCTAAACCTCGTGGCAACATTTATAAAATGAAACATGTCTGTAGAAGTGACTGTCTGAAACTCATCATCCTACAACTCCTTCATGCAGCTAAATATGGAATATGGAGATTGTGGCTTTAATGATTTTACAAGTTTAACATTTTGACACTTTGCTTAACCTGCACTGTAAGTCATTACATAAAATTTAAAGTACAACTATTTGCATGTTCATGGTTGAGTCTGTTCGAGTTTTATAGCTGTGAGTTTCACTATTTTCAGACAGCATTTTACAAGTAATTAATGTAAATGTTCTGTAAATGCCAGAGGGTGCACCACCCTTTTCCCTTTCATTGGTATGTGTGGGACATTTATGACACCATTTAGACATTTAGTTTACTCATTAGTGTTAAGTATCATAGCTTGCCTGATGTTGTGCGCTCTAATAAGATAACCCACAGACATTAAACACAAGCGCTATTAGATTAACAAAGTTGAATGGACCAGCAGCCAATTGGCATCTTCGTATCCCAAGAAACGTGGCACTGGACTTTCACACTGGTCTGCGTTCAAGTTTCTCCTGATCAAATCCGTCATGAATTGCAAATTACATCTGATAGTTATTTGAACATATATTTTCAACATTTATACAAACTGCATTGCAAGTGTTCATATAAAGAACCCAAAAGCAGATTCTGTTTCAGGAAGCAGGTAGTGGACGAAAATAATCAAAACAAAAGACAGAAAAATGAAACATTTCTGCTAGCAAAGTGAGAAAAATGGTAATCTTACCAGGAAATTACAAAAAAGATCTGACAACAAAGAAAATCTTGTATTATATGTTTTTACTGAGAGGAGTGATTATGCACAAAATTAGTTGTGGTGATTAACAAACTGAATCCAGGTGTGGGAAGTAAAGTGGCTTATATTACTAAGCTGATTCAACAAATACGAGGCATATTTAAAAAAGGCTCACTCCACTAACCCTAATAGTGAATATCCCACTTTTGTTGTCCTACAAAGCTGGTTAACAGCTCAGTAAGTCCAGCCTGGATTTCTGACTCTGGCTATGGGGACGATGTAAAACAGGTGGAGCTACGATGGAGAACAATTCACAATCATGGAGCTGGAAGAAAAGCTGGCAAAAAATCCAATAGATACATGAAACCATTAGGCCCATATCACTGCCACACAAACCAGACCCATTTCTACTTTCATGAAAATTATGGGGGTTGTAAATTATAACAAATGGATTATATGTAACACATTTCTGAAGTTTTTTTTTTTTTAATACCTCCATCTACTGGCACAGATCTGCGATGTGACATATATATCACAATGGGCGTACTTAGTAAAATTATTCCGCATTTGGAAATAGATTGTCTAAACAGTTGTTTTTGTTTTTAACACATAATTTTCTTTTTATTTGCAACTTCTTAACATGCATGCAACATTGCTTGGTTTTGTTTAACAAGTACTTCTTAAAAAAAGTCATTGTGTCAAATATGTCGCATGGAATTTTTTTTGTACAATTTAGAGTTTATTGCCCGATGTGACATATATGTCACAACGATATCTGACAAAGCTATTCTTTATCAAATTGTTTTAGAAATGCTATCAAACCAGGTTATATTCATCCATCCATCCATTATCTTTACCCGCTTATTCCATTTTGGGTCACGGGGGTCACCGGTGCCCATGTCCAGCAATCACTGTGCGAGGGGCAGGGTACACTCTGGATGGGTCTCCAGTCCATCACAGGGCCACATAGAGACAAACGAGATAAACAACCATTCACTCTCTCACTCACACCTAGGGACAATTTAGAGTTACCAATCAGCCTAACATGCATGTTTTTGGTCTGTGGGAAGAAACCGGAGAACCCGGAGAAAACCCACGCATGCACGGAGAGAACATGCAAACTCCACCCAGAAAGGCCCCTGGACCTGGGTTTGAACCAGGGACCTGCTCGCTGAGAGGCAGCAGCTCTACCAGTTGCACCACCATGCTGCCCCAGGTTATATTCAATTCAATTCACTTCAGTTTATTTATATAGTGCCAAATCTCGGGGCACTTTACAGAAACATTTGCATACATAAAAGCAAGTATTTGGACACCCAGATAATAAACCATTGCAATAGTCCAGTCTAGACGTGACAAATGCATGGACCAGTTTTTCTGCATCATTTTTAGATAAGATGTTTCTACTTTTAGTGATATTACGCAGGTGGAAGAAGGCAGTTCTAGTAATGTTTTTAATGTGGGGGATAAAAGACATGTCCTGATCAAAAATAACACCAAGATTTTTAACAGTATAGCTGGAGGACAGATTAATGCCATCTAAGGAGGGAGAAAGACTGAAAAATTCATTCCTAAGGTGCTCAGGTCCAAAAACCAAAACCTCAGTCTTGTCTTTGTTCAAAAGGAGAAAATTAAGGGTCATCCAGGTTTTTTATGTCTTTAAGACATGCTTGTAGTCTAAGTAACTGATTCGATTCATTGGGTTTAATGGACAAATATAATTGTGTGTCATCAGTGTAGATGAACATATCCTGAGATATTCACCTGATTAAAACGGATTCTTTCATTTTTCTGGACTGAATATAAACGTGCATTGAATTTAATAAAATGTAACGTGAGACGTTATTTATCTTTGACCCATCAAAATGAATGTGGTCATTTATTTACAGAATCAAAGTTTAACATCAAACATTTACATTAATTTGGCAAAATATGAAAATAACAACATAATTAATCAGCTTTACAGGTAGTGAGAAACAATACGGCGATTGTTTTCACTTTTCAGCAGAACAGCAGACATCAAATCACACGGCGGTGATTGAGAACTTTGCTTCAGACATTTCTAAAAATATCTGTCAATGATTTCTACTTGATAGAAGAATTTTTAAAGATGGAAAGATGAAGTTTAGTGGGAGTGAAAGATGGATGAGGGAGAATGTGGTGTGTATGAGTGAAAAGTGTTGACAGGACGACACCCTCCATCTGACCCAGCTTTCCTCGGTACGCTCAGTAGTGGACTAGGCTCATTTACCTCTCTGACGATGAATAAGCGGAAGAGGAGCTCCAGTTAACGCTACCTTTCAGCGTCTCCGTAGAATGGCAGAGATATATCCGGAGTGGTGACGGGACTTCGTCAACAACAGTTCACCTCAACGGGTGGACTTCACATGAGTGGGGTTCTTCAGAAGTTCCACTCAGAGGTGGAAGATGTTATAATCCCAAACTCGGAAGAGCCTTATCATGGCTGGACTTCTGTTCTCCCAAACGACTGGAGCTGCAAACTCTCCAGCCCGACTCCAACGGCAACTCACAGAACAGCCACTTCACAGAACTGCGACCATCTCAGGAACTGGGAGAACTAGGAAGTACCGACATTTTAAAGAGCTCTATTTCCGGTTCATTTGAGAGTTTCTGATTGGTCAATATCAACCAGACAGGGGTGTGTTTTGTGATGTAAGGTGTTATGGAAAGTCAGAAACCAGCAAGAATGTTATGGAACAGATTGAAGATGTTTCCCAGACAGGCGAGAGAAATGTTTGGGCGAGTTTGGAGAAACAGGTGCCAACTTCTCTGTTTACGTCTGAGAGGATTTAAAAACAAGACAGTTGTTCCAACACTTGTCTGCTTCGACTCCTGACCTTGGAAAACATACACTGCTCATTCAAAGACAGAAATCAGAAAATGCATAATTACTCTGTAACAGACCTTAACATGAATTCTAACTTTGCATAAGCAACTCAAAAATCATTGTTACTGTTTTACAGTTAATAAAATTGATTAGTTCACTGTAACATCTAAAATGTTTGAACTAAAACACTTTGATTATCAAACATTTGTAAAACAGTAATGATAATAGAAAAGAGAGTGTTCTTTCACTTGAATTTTCAAGAAAGAAAGTCTCAGGATGGGTGAACCTGTATTTCTGGATTCAAATCAATGAAATGACAGTTTCTGTCCCATATGGTCCTAAGGTCAAGTTTTGACATCAGGTCAAGTTCACTACATCAGCATAACAATGAAAATGTATCCCATGCTGTTTAATAACTTTACCTAATGGAAGCATATATAAAGTAAAGAGTATTGGCCCAAGCACTGAGCCCTGAGGAACTCCATGACTAACTTTGGTGTATGAAGAAGATTTATTATTTACATTTACAAACTGGAATCTATCAGATAGATATGATTTAAACCATTTTAGAGTTGTTTCGGTAATCCCAATATCATATTCAAGCCTCTGTAGTAAAATATTGTGATCAACTGTATCAAATGCAGCACTGAGGTCTAACAGGACCAGTATAGACACAAGTCCATTATGTGAGCTATGTCATGTTATCAAAGTATTAGCATCATTGGAACAGTGGAAACTCACCTTTGGTAAAAGAAAATAAAGTTTCTAAAATTAGCTTAGTGTTCACATTAATTGCCCAAATGCACCAAGACTTCGGAAATTATGTCGTCAGTACCCAGAGTCCCTCACTAGTCACATGACTGAATCAGGATGTTCAGTAGATGTCACTTAATGACGTCATGAGATAAAAGTCAATGCTAAACCTTAATAAAAAGCTTTTTTAAATTTTAAAAGTGGTGGTGACACCAGTGTCAGTGGGTCCTTAAGGTCAAGATCAAGGTTTCTTTATTGTCATTCTCATTATATGTGGTACATGTTGTGGAACAAAATTTTGTACACAGGATTCCAATTACATTCAACAAAAGTATAAATTATAAAGAAAAACAGTAATAAGATCTAAGATACTGTATAAAGTTCAAGTATTTTGATGTAACTCAAGGGCAAACAGAAGAGTAAACTCCCATTTTTACTTTACAGATAGTATTTTTTCATTATCACCCACCACTGCCTAAAATATCGGCATTACCTGTTGGTGTTAACTTTGTCTGTTAGCAAAATTTCTCAGTTATCAAGATGAAATATGTATAGTTTAATAGAAATCTCAGAAAATAATCACAGAATTTATTGAATTTATGCATAACATTTGAACTTACCCTAATTCAAGATGACTGTTAATGTTACCAAATACAAAATTCTTGCAAAACACTTAGCTGAAATTTAATGTGGTAGTGGCTGAGCGTAATTTGAAACACATTTTTTGAAATGTACACATTGCACAACATCTTGGCTTAATTTTGCTGTAACTGCTGGCATCAAGTGGGTTTGTCTCAGTAAAATAGCTCATAATCCGCTGGATGGATTTAAACTAAACTTTCAGAAAGCGATCAAAGAAGGTACGTTACAACTGCTTTAATTTTAGATTTATTAAAATAAAGGTGTTTTCCACAGCTAATTGACTTTAGCCAACACAAAAATGGCTGTAACTTTACATTTATCAATATTGATCTAAAACATATGTGTCAAACTCAAGGCCCAGGGGCCAAATGTGTCCCTCATTGACATCTTATCTGGCCCCCAAGATGTTATTTTAAATTTTAAATACTTTTATCACTTTATTTTTTTCAGTAATCTTTGATTATGATGTCAAAAGTACAACAGAGAACGTCAAATGAGACCAATCAAACTTTTGTTGAGGAACCTGCAACCAAGAAAAAATGATGGGTATCAAACTTGAGTTCATCTAAATTCTGAAACCGGCACTTAGTTTGAAAGAGGTTTTAATTTTGCTCCTCTTTTGTTAGTGAGTTTGACACCTCTGCGCTAAAGGTTGATGTGATAGTAGCTGAGAGTCATCCTCAACACATACTTCCAAAGCTTAACACTTCTTCCAAGATCTGGCACAAGATTGTGCCTACAAAGCCATCCCTTCTCAACATAAGTTGATCTTTGACATTAGATGTAGTGGGCAACATACATTCTTCAAAGGGTGCTAGACTTTTCATTTTTAAACACCCCTCAAATATGCCTTGTCCATCCGTCCGTAAACTTTCCCTTGTCCCCCCCATAACTCATAAAGATAATTTAGCTAAACTTGTCAAGAATTTGTGCTACCAGTAGACTGCATGTCACATAACCTTTTCAACACCCTAGATCTAAAGTCAAGGTCACAAATCAAGATCAACGTTATACAAGGTCTTTAACTTGTCTGGGCCATTGCTATAAGTTGCTGTATCACTGCATAATAGTCTGTTCATGGGGGTATAATGTAACCTGCTTCAGAGCAGGTTAGTTCTCTGACATAAGTTGTCATGGTGACAGATCCAGTTTAGAAGTGATCCAGTTTTTGATACAGAAAATCCAAAACTAAGCCAGTAATCCTTTGGAGCATGGGTCTCTGGGTGACTGTCTGAGAATAACAGACGATAAAACATTGATACGCTAAAAACACAGAACAAGCAGAAAATGTAAATAAAGTTGAAGCAAGAGAAATGAGCAAAAAAACAACAAGAAGAAGAAACCATAACCTTTGACAAACTGAAGAAAGCTGAACATCAGACATCTTCTGATATGCTATTTAAAACGCTGAAAATTTACAAGAGAAAAGAAAACTGAAACGTCTTTATCTCAGACTTTGTGTCCTCATTTATGTTTTTCTTTTTTGCCTTCTTTGTATCTTTATATTTATCACCCTCTCTTCTCCCTCTCTCAGGTTTTTGTTTCACAATGTCCTCCTGCTCATTGTCCTAATCCTGTCCATTTCACTTCAATACTCTTTCCCCCTCATTTCATTCTTCTTTGACTCCATACATCCAGGTTTGAATTAACGTCTCCACTTCTTGATTAATCTTTTTCTGCTCTTTGTTCTCCTTTAGTCCCCTTTTCCATATCTGCTCTCATTCCTCTAATTATCCTCTTCCCATCTTTCATATATTGGGTTTAACCTTTTCTCTACGCTCCTTTAATCTAACTAGGGGAAGGGCATTTCCAAGTCTGTGTCCATGAACTGTGGCCCCTGTCCGGGTGTAGCTGTGGGCCTGGGGAACCTCTGCCACAGTGACTCATACACATGGGCTGTGGAGAACCGGAGATCCTTTCAGAGAGATGGCAGCAATGCCTCTCTCACCTCCCAGGAGATGTCGTTCTCAGAGATCTACCAAGACAACTCTACTATCACCGAGTCCCAGGTATGTAAAAATACTGACAATAAAAGAGGGTTTATTAACACAGAGTAATTTATTTTTAACACTTTAGACCTATCAAATCTTTTTTTTTTTTTTTTTCAACTGTAAAGGGGAACACATTACCCTTTGAAATGTCACATTTTAAATTTGGGATGTTTCTTTACTCCATTAAAGTCATGTCCAGTTGGCTAATCGTCAAATGAGGGTTTCATTAGAGCGTCTGAAGCTGTCATTTTACATGTGGCTTTTATTTTTTTTAGTACTGCACTCCTCCTCGAATCAACCGCACCATGTCAATGGGGAGGAACCTTTCTGCTATTGCACATGAGGTACAGTAAGCTTTGATAAAAAAACAAAGGTTTGACTGTGAGGCTGTCAGACATGAAAGCAGATTTAATTTTTATGCTTCTGTTTAATTTCCTCTTCCTCTAATATCTTAGAGGCGTCACATTGAGATAATAGAGCTGACCAATGACGGGAAAGGCCTCGGTTTTGGCATTGTAGGAGGACGTAGCTCTGGAGTCTTGGTCAAGACCATCCTGCCTGGGGGCGCAGCTGGAAGGGTAAATCTGGGGGGCTCAGCATGGGAACAGTTTTGTAAATATACTTATAAAATAATTTTAGATTTTTATGTAGCCAGACAAAATGCAGCCTTTGGAACATGTACACAGTTTATAAACGGTTTGAGCATGCTCCATGCCTTGTTTCTTGTTTTTGGTGGTTTATGTGTGTTACAGTGACACACACAGTCCTGGCATAGTTACTACTACTCACAATTTGACAATGTGCTGCTTGTGTAATCCATTTGAAAAATAAGTTAATCTATAAGTGTTTGTTCTGTAAAATATGTTTTCTAGGATAAGCGTCTATGTGGTGGAGATCAGATCCTTCGCATTGGAGATACAGATTTGGCTGGCATGAGCAGCGAGCAGGTGGCACAGGTGAGGTATAACTTACTGATTAACAGAAAAAAAAAGTGATGGTCTGTTTTTCTGCCAAACCATGTAATCACATAAATTTGGGGTTCACAAACTGAAGTATCAAACACAATCTTACTTGAGCCCAGCTCATTTTAATCATTTCCATTTTTTAGTAGCATAAACAAATTATTTTAATGGAAAATGGGACTTTGTTCCGGTCCAAACCTAATAAAATGTGACTACGAGTGAAGAAAACCAGGCTGGTTGAAGTAAAACAGAAAAACACGTACTATATAGAGAGAGGCTTTTCTTTTAGGTTGCATCAGACAGGGTATGTTGTGTAAAACAATTGCCAGATTATTTATGTGTTTGTTCACTATGACAGAAAGGAGCTGAAGATAAGAAGAAGGTTAACTTTTCCTACAGAGTATAAAAGCTCCCTGTCAAACTCCATCAACATGAATCATGTTTTATTGCTAGACACCTCGATAATTAACATAAACATGTTTAACAGATGAAAGTGTGTTAAAGAGTGTATGAGTGCAGAAGCGTTTTAATTATTGATGTTCAAAACTGAAGTAATACATTTTATTTTTGTTTCAGATTGTCTTTATTTCAACTTGAAACCTTAATGCTAGTTTTCTAAACGTTAGAAAACAGAAAAGAAATGTTATTGTATATTTGATTTTTATTAAAACGGCAATGTGGCTTGGAGCTGCGATACCAAAATGTATCAGTGCCACAGCCTTGTAATCCTGAGGTTGCAGGTTCGAACCCAGGTTGCATCAGGAAGTATATCCTGTATGCAAATGATGCCACATCCTTTTTGCAAGTTAACTTTCTGTGGTGACGCATGCAGAAGGGTGAAAGAGCCAGAACTGAAAGTCACAGTTACAGCTAATTTTCAGCTCTCTGACTGTGTGAATCTGCTGTTAAGGCTAGCACAGTATCTGCCTGTGTTGCAATTGTATGAACATATTTGAAACTTTAACAAGCTTCTTGGGGAGCCCTTTAAAGATTTCAGAACATTTTTTAGACTACCTACCAAATGTCATTTTCCAACTATAGTTGCCATCAGTCTCAGTGCAGTGAGATATTATTTTAAACCTTTTGTCTTTTCAACATAAAAAAAAGGTGCTTGCTCACATTCATGTTATGCATCCTAGTGTATCACAAGATGTATTTATTTATTTAATTAACAAAGGACTGTGTGGAACAGGTGTTGCGAAATGCAGGTAGCAGGGTGAAACTACTCATCGCCAGAGACATGACCAGGGACAATCACCTCTCCTCTCCGGTCCTCAACCAGGACAATGTGGATGGGAAGGTGTGTGTTTGTTGACTATAACTTTTTAAGTAATATAATTAACCATTAAGTGAAAATAAATGTATTGAGTATTTCTGTTGAAAGCAATGGGGTTTTTTTTGTGCTTCATTTTAGCGTAATGACTTCAACAATGACTACGAGTTTAGTGTCCAGTTCACTAAAAACAGTCGAGGTTTGGGATTTACCATCTCTAGCTACGTGGGAGACCTTAACTCAGGTATTTACTCTAAAAGTGATTGTTTCTAAACACATGGTTTAATGGTTATAAAATTACTATAAACAATGCTACATGTACACAGTAATCAGTAATACAGTAAAAACATATCCTGGCAAATAAAGCACCAGAAAGAAATGTAAAATATGACATATCGTTACAACTTCAAATAGAAGCATTTTCTGTCATGTTAACACAACTTTTAGTTCTAATTTTACATGTTGTTCTTCTCTCGTCACAAACAAAGGATTTTTTTCACATGCAATGACAATATTATTACCTATATGTATATATTAGCGATATAACTGTACATGCACTATATTCACAATGTTACCAGTCAGCAAATCATGTCTTGCTGTACATGACCCGCTATCGCAAACCTTCTCTACTACAAGGGAAGTTTGTTTGTCTTTCTGCTTCAAGAAGACACATTATTTGACTATTTTAAAAAAGGAGAAAGGTAAAAAAAAAAACAGTATTTGGTATTTGTTTCTGTGATGGACTTGCAACCCGTCCAGGGTGTACCCCGCCCCTCGCACAATGATTGTTGGACATGGGCACCGTCGACCCCGGTGACCCAAAATGGAAGAAGTGGTAATGGATGGATGGTATTTGTTTCTTTTTCTTGTTCTGTCAAACCTATTTTAAGCATACTGTTACACTTATACTAAATAAGTTGTATATTATTTTACAAAAATTATACTGGAAATGCCATGCATTCATTCATCAATTGTTTACTGCTTATCTGTGGATTGATCACCATGGTGACAGGTCTAGGAGAAAAAACCCAGACATCACTTTCCCAGTAACATTCTTCAGCTCCTTCTGGGGAATCCCAAAATGTTCAGGCCAGAGAGGACCATGCAATCCCTTAATGGGATTCTGGGTTTGCTACAGGGTCTCTTCTCAGTAGGACATGCCTGGAAAACTTCCAAAGGGAGGCATCCATGAGGCAGCCTAATCAGATACCTGAACCATCTCGACTGACTTATTTTGATGTGAAGGAGAAGTGACTATAATTTGAGCTACCCCTGAATGAAGTAGCTCCTCACACTATCTCTGACTGAGCCTATCAAATGAAGGAAGCTCATTTCAGCTGCTTGTTATTTTTGGATCTCATTATTTTCATCATGATTCATACCTTATGGAATGGGTGAAGTATGAAACAAAGACAGAGAGTCAGAGTTACTTTATTTGTCATACACACCACATGTGGTACATGTGGTGGAACAAAATTGTGTACACAGGGTCCCAGTTACATCAAACCAAGTTAAAAATGTAAAAGAAAAACAATAATAGGATCTAAGATATGAATTAAGAAAAATGTTAACTAAAAATTTGCTAAGCACTAGTAGTTGAGAAACAATATGCAGAACAGCAGCATGAACATGAGTCTGTGTGAGCAGATGAGTACGATCAATGAACACAGCAGCATGAAACAAATCAGCAGCATGATGTGATTTTTTTCACAGTTATTATCTTGGTTTGAGATTCATGAGTCTAACGGCCTCAGGGTAGAAGCTGTTCCTCAGTCTAGTGGTTTTACACTTAATGCTCCTCATCCTCATACAGACAGACAAGTAAATCTAAAGCTTTTACCTTTCAACTCAACTTTTTCTTTTCTATGACCAACCACAGTAATGCCCTCATTAATGCTAATGAGGCCCCAGAAAATATCTCCATCTACTACTCCATCCTACCATTACTTGTAAAAAATGCTGAAACCCTTGAACTCTTTCACCTGAGGTAAAAAATTTCATATCAACCTAGCTTTCCACCCTTGATAATTATGGCCTCAGACTTATAGAAGGTGACACGTATCACAGCTGCTTCACACTTGTTTGAGAAATGGACTGTATGTACGTAGCGCCTTTCTATCTTATCAAGATACTCAAAGCGCTTTACACTACAGTCTGTGCCCACATTTACCATTCATACAGCATTCTACTAGATCTCTACAAAGCTATTAGAACAAATAATTTGAAAGAGAATAATCAGTGCTTTATCACGTTCATACACAATGAGACACACATCTGTTCGTGCTGCCTCATTGCCTCTGTCGCTGCCTCATTGCCTCAACAGCAGTGTCTTGCCCAGGGACACTTCAGCATTTCACTGCTAGTGGAATTGAACCCCCAACTTTTGCATTGGAGGACAACTGCTCTAACCACTTGGCCACAGCCACCCCACAGAGAACTATCCCTATGCTCGCTGAAGGTCATGGCGTCAAGACGCCATAGGAGCCACATCTTCTGCAAAACACAGAAACAAGACCCTGATGTTCCCAAACCAGACATCCTCCTACTATGCCTTGAGATCCTGTCCATGAACACCACAAACAGGATCTGAAACAAGGGACAGTCTTGAATGAGTCAAACTTGCACAAAGAATGAGCTTGACATGTGCCCAGAATTCAGACACAACTCCAGCTTTGGTTAAACAGGGACTGGATAGCCCCTACAACCCTGTATCCCCTTACTCTCACAGAAGGCCTCGGGGAATGCAGTCATAAGCTTTCTCTAGATCTACAATACACATGTAGACTTGAGAGTCAAACTCCCCTGAACCCCTAGCAACCTGGCAAGGGTAAGGATCTGGTCCACTGTTCCACAGCCATGATTAAAGCCAATATGCTCCTCTTGAATCTGAAATTTGACAATTGATTGAAGCATCCCTTCCAAAACCCTAGCGTTAACTTTCTATGGCCTCTGGGAAGTGTGATTCCTCTATAATTGAAACACACTCTCTGGTCCCTAAAAATGTGAACTACCATCCAGGTGTTTCCCCAGCCTACATACAACATTAAACAGATGTGTCAACTATGCCAACCTCACAATGTCCAAAGCCCTCAGAATCTTAGAGTAAATCTTATCCCTGGTGCCCTACCAATGCAAGCTTTTTAACTACCTTGGTGACCTCTGCCATGGCAATGTACATGTTGTCTCCAGAGTCCTCATACTCCTCCTCAAATGTGGCCATGGTGGCCAGATTAAAGAGATCCTCAAAGTGCTCCTTTTATCTCACCACAATATACTCAAGTTGTCAGCAGTTCCTCACCAAAATCAAGTCCAGCCTAGGATTGGACCTGCTTTCCCTTTCTGAGTTGCTGAACAGTTTGGCAAAACCTTCTCAAGGCCAACACATTTTTTTTTCTCTATGGCCTTGCTGAATTCCTCCTATGCCAGAGTTTTTGCATCCACAACCACAGAAGCTGCAGTCCTCCTGACCACCATGCCATGTCAGCTATTTTAATTTTCCTTTTGGAAAGCCAATCCCTAAAACCTTTCTTCTTCATTTTGATTGTCTCCATCCCCACTGGTGTCCAACAGTGGGTCCTTTGGTTGTTTTTAACCAGACTGGCACATTTTTAGGTTGTGAGAGGAAACCAGAGTACAGCCATTATCTCACAGTTTTTTTGTGACCAACCAAACACATAATAGTTGACTGTGAAGACTACTTGAAAAAAAATATTAAGGGACGTTCAAGATGGGTTCCAGATACCACTGATAAGCCAGTGAATCTTTTAAAATGCTTGGTTTGCAAATTTTTGAACATTCTCAAAGTGTATGCAACAAAAATACAAATGTGCAGGCACGTGAATCATGCAGGGAAATTTAAAATCAATGCAAACATTTTCAAAAAAATGTTCAATTTGAATAGAGTAACGATACAAGCATATCCAGAGAAAATTCCCACGTTCAATGACAAAATGTAAACTATACAAAAGAAAATGAAATGTTAGCTTTTGTATACAATTACAACTTTTTAACCATATTTTATAAAATGAATGTAAATTTATGCTCCATGTATGTCATTTTAATTTTTTTTGTGTGTTTCAGAAATACATGAATTAATTAAAATAAAATAAAAAGTTTATTTAAAGATATGTTTGTACATTGCAGTTGTAATTTTTGTTATGTTCTGTTCAGTCTACAGTGCTGGTGTGATGGTAAAGAGTGTGGTGAAGGGCAGCTCTGTGGATCAGGATGGACACATGCGCGTTGGAGACATCATACTCTCTGTATGTCACAACAGATGAGTTGTTTATAGTACTCTGTGAAAAAAAATCAAGTTATTACAAATTTTTTCTCTTGTCTACTTCACAGCTTTTAGCATTTTTATATTTGTTTACATATTGTACTCTATTTAGAGTACAATAAGTACAATTAGAGTACTAACTACAGGGGAATTAAGTTGATGAGTCACACAATGAAGATATGGGACAGAGTTGTGGAAGATAGACTAAAAGGAGAGGTGACTATTTGTGAGCAGCAGCATGGTTTCATGCCATGAAAGAGCACCACAGATGCCAGCTTTGCTTTGAGGATGCTGATGGAAAAGTACAGAAAGGTTCAGAAAGATCTTCATTGTGTCTTTGTTGCTTTAGAAAAAAGCATATGATAGGGAGGAGGTGTGGTATGGCATTAGGAAAACTGGAGTGGCAGAGAAGTATGTTAGACTGGTACAGGATATGTTTGAGGACAGCAGAACAGTGGTGAGATGTGCTGTAGGACTGTCTAACAGATGAGGTCAGTCAGGAATCCCCATGGTTATGATGTTTGCAGATGACATTGTGAGCTGTGGTGAGAACAGGGAACAGGTGGAAGAGAACTTGGAGAGGTAGAGGTATGCACTTGAAAGAAGAGGAATGAAAGCCAGCCATATTAATGTGTGTGAATGAGAGGGAGGCCGGTGGAACAGTGAGGCTACAAGGAGCAGAGGTCACAAAGGTGCAGGACTTCAAGTACTTGGGATCCACTGTACATGAAAATGGGGAGTGTTGTAAAGAGGTGAAAAAGAGAGTCCAGGCAGGATGGAGTAGATGGAAAATATTTTCAGGATTGATTTGCGACAAAAGGGTGTCAGCAAAGGTCAAAGGAAAAGTTTACAGGACAGTGGTGAGACCAGCTATGTTGTATGGTCTGGAGACAGTGGAATTGACTAAAAGACAGGAGAAAGAACTGGAAATGACAGAAATGAAGATGTTGAGGTTCTCCTTAGGAGTGACAAGAATGGATAAGATTAGGAATGCGATCATCAGAGGTACAGCACAGGTTGAACAACTGAGATACAGTTAGAGAGGCCAGACAGAGATGGTTTGGACATGTCAAGAGGAGGGATAGTGGGTATATTGGTATAAGGATGTTAGAAATGCAGCTGCCAGGAAAAAGACAAGGAGGAGATGTAGTTAAAGAGAACATGGAAGTAGGTGGAGTGAGGACAGAGGACAAAGAGGACAGAGTGAAATGGAGGAGGATGACTCACTTTGGCAACCCTGAAGAGGAAAACGTCAAAATAAGAAGATTGTACTCTAATTAGTCTACTTTTCAGCTGACTTGTTTTCTGCCCATCAAATGTATTGCCTCTTATTTTACTTATTTGTTTCATCTGGTTCTATCTGTGGTGTACTCCAATTCTTTGTTATTGTTTGTGAGTCTGTTACCAAAACATTTTAATGACATTTTCAGAAAGTAATCATTGGCAGTACATCTACTACTTTTGAATTTAACCAAATCAAGGAAAGCTGCCACATCTAACTGGTGTTAGCTAGTACAAAAATGGCTATAACTCAGTCAGTTTTACAAATGTTTAGCTAAAATTGAGGTGGTGTTAGCTGAGACTAATTCACAACAAATATTCTGAGTGTAACATCTCACATTGTGGCATGATATGGAGAATATCTTTATGGTTTGACTAAAACTCTTTCATTTCTCAACATAAAACAATCTTAGCATAAAACACGGATATAAAAGCAGAGGTTGGTATTTATTCAAGGAATTCTAGGCCGTTAATGAACTTTATTTAAGATGCTTGTTGCCTTGATCTGCTGCTCCCCATCTCCCACACATTCATGCCTGAATTCTCACTGGTTATTTTTCTTTGCACTGTCTCTTGCCTCAGGTTGATGGGGTGAGTCTTCAGGGCTGCAGTGAACAGCGAGCCATGGAGGTGCTCAGGAGAACAGGTTCCCTGGTCAGACTGCGGTTGCTGAGGAAAGCTGTCTGTCTGAGTCACATCATGCCCTCAGTTCCTCCTCTGCAGCCTCTACGACACTCCCACAGCTTCCACGAGGGCAACCATTACAGAATGAACCTCAACAAGATTCAGGAGACAGGTACACTCAGAGACAAATATCTGAGACTGTTCCTAAAGCCATTAACACAAACTTATGCATGTTACTGAACCTTACCTTGTCTGCTATTTATTGGTATTGATTTCGGTGCACTTTTCCATTTACTGATGTACTTTTATATAACATGCGTACAACAAAACCAAAAATAACAATAATAACAAAACAAAATTGAATTTCTTTTTTGTAATACAACATGTTTGTGTGGCTCCCTGCATGTGTGCTCAGACGTGTACCCTCGTCTCCCAGGAATCTCTTCTCTGCGTGAAATCTCCTGGCGAGCGGCATATGCTAGCAGGCGACCTCGATACAATTCCAGGGACGGTAAGCTCCTCTTGCTGCCTCCTGCACAGCAGTCTGGAACTGCATCACAGGACTCGCTCCGCTTTGCTGCTTTGGATCACGAAACAGTGATGCGCCAGTGAACCGTGCTCTTTGATGGGATTCTATTTATAGTTTTGTGCAATCATGTGTTTATTCAACTCATTCAGCTCATTCCAGATGATTTGTCTCTCACGTCACTTGCATGTGTAGTTTTATTTAGACAGGAAATTTGGGCCTGATTAGAGAGAGCTGACAAATAAGCCATGGTTGCTGTTAGGCTTTAATAGACGAATAAGAAAACATAACTTTGTCAGGAAATGACAAGATGGTGGACGTGAATATGCATGGATATTTGTCTTTGTGTGTGCGTCTGTGTGTGCGCCTGTCAAATGGTTGTGTGTTGGTAAGTTTGCTTTGCCTCAAGGAGAATTATGTCATCTTCTCTCTTTCACAGAACCAACGTGATGTTTTTATATAGGATCATATTTTTATTGACTGAACCATCTGGAGTTTGAAACAATGTGTATTGGTGTGTGCTTGTAAATGAGGTTTCGTGTATTTGTGTTTGTGATAAAAGGAGATTTTTTTGTGTGTGCATATTTTAAGGTGTGAAACTGACTCCAGAGGAAGAGGAAGACCTGAGGAAGAGATGGCAGCATGCAGTCGGACTTCGATATGAAGTGATTGTATGTCAATTCCCAATGAATAAAAATGCTTAGAATGGTTTGCAAAGACAAAGTTAAAGGTCTCACTTTCTTTGAAGGCGTGCATATTACTCACTCGCTTTCATTTCAGAGTTTTAGACTTTATCGTCTTACGATGCGAAGTAGAATTATAGACGTTTTGGTCAAACCTCATGAATGATGTTATGCGTGATCTCACACAAGATCTCATGAGATGAGATAAGCTCTCAGAGTTTACGATGAAGATGATTTTCATCTACTACAACAATTTTTAGCTGTCAAATTGATTGAGTTGTAATTATTCATGTGTTTCTAAACTCGATCAGCTGTAGTAACCTTGTTGAATTGGATTAACTCCAGAAGTGAATCAGTTTTAGAGGTACATCCTACGGTGACCCTAAGGTGGTAATGAACAACATTTGAAAAAACAGAATTACATTAAGCCAAACTGGAAGTGGCCAAAGCACATTTGAAATTAAATGTTTGGCTTAATGTAATTCAGTTTTTTCAAATGTAATTCTATTTTTTCAAATGTTGTTCATTTACACCTTGGGGCCACTGTAACATCCAGTGATAACTTCTTGATTGTTTAATTAAAATGTGTCCAGTTATTCACTAAGTACTACTACTATCACAAATAAAAATACAAACAATAATGTTGTTGCCTTTTTGTTTTCAGTACTGGGGGATGTTTAAATGAAAAGCATGATTCTATGTAAATGAGAAGTAAACTGATTGATTAGATGACCAATTAATTAGACCAATTTATCTCTTTTTAAATATCAGCTTCAGCCTCATTTGAGTACATAAAAGCAGTGTAGTTATGTTTGACATTACACCTTTCTGTCAAAGCTCTTTCAGTGATGGAAGTGGTATTTACCGCACGCATGCTTGTTTCTATTTTTATATTATTTTAGAGCTTTTTATCTTTAATAAGCTGAAAGGAAAATGTTAGTTTTGCACAGACATTATGGATACCTTTACATTTGGAGCTGCTTCCATAGTGAGTCTTTCTGAATCTGTAGTACATGTAAAAATGTGCACTGATTTAAAAGGTTAAATGACAATATCAAAGACAATCTCATATTTGTTCCTTACTTTTCCAGAATGTATAGATGTTATTGTGTGTGGATATTAAATTGGCTGAAACAAATATGTCGTGAATTTTGCCTTCAGCTGCATTGACTCTCTAAAACAGATGCCTTGTCTCTATTCTGTAATCATAAAAGATAATTAAACATTCTTTTTTGTGTGATGGGAAAACACATTAGGCTACATGTAAAACTTTTTTTTTTGGTTTCCCAACATGTTTTGCTCCCGCCTTCTTCTTGCAGGTGTGTCAGTTGGAGCGGTTCAGTGAGACCAGCGGACTGGGCATCAGTCTGGAGGCTCGGGCCGGACATCACTACCTGTGCTCCATTTTACCTGAAGGTCCCGTTGGCCAAAGTGGAAGGATCTTCATTGGAGACCAAATATTGGAGGTAACTGTACTTTTCAATTAATTATTCATTGATAAACTGATGACACTTTTATATTGCATAAACAAAATTAAGATATTTTATAAAACTGGTTATTTTGAGGCAGTTTTAGTCTCTATAATTGATTTTACTAAAGCCTTGAAACTGTTTTCATTTTTATAGACCTTTTATAAACCTGAATATTCTAAATTTTCAAAAGTTTATCATAACTTTAAAAAAAAGTGAGTTTATTTTTACAATTTAGCTGATTTTATTTGCATGTGAGGAGGAGTGCAAGGATTTTTCCAGTCAAGTGCAGTCTAGACTAACGTTTCTTTTTTATTTTTATTGCTACAAGCTGTCGGTCAGCTGTGTATGGAAGTTGTTAGATTACCAATATAATTATTGGTATCCAGTGTTTTTTTTCTACCATAATTTACAATTGCCCAAAATGTCACATCGTTATATACAACTTGTTGACGTTCTGGTTTGTCTGAAAACGTTGATTTTTTTATTTTTATTTTTTAAATGAGAAGATATTTTGTATTTTCTCTCTCTTTATGTGTATATGTGCATCAAAAACCAATGGCTAAAATATATATATAATTGGTAAAATAGTAGCAATTATAATAAATACAATTATGATGTTACTTTTGGCAGCCCATAATAGTTAATAATACTAATAATCTTAAAAGCATTTATTTTTAATTATTATTTTATTTTATTTTATAAATTGAATGGTGTCATGCTATTCAGATCTCATAAACCACTGGTTGCATTTTATTGAAACTTTCAAAAAGTCATCAATGGATGTAAATCTTAACTTCACGAGTGAACCCGATTCAAGACAGCTACCGCAGCTAGTCGAGCTCAGCCAACACAACAATGGCTCTAATTCTGCAAATACTGTACATACAGTATTTGTATCAGATCTGTTGTGGTAGTCATTGCGAGTCATCCCCCAACCTACACAGTGAGCATTAATCGATTGTGTGAGATCTTGGCTTAAATATTAGTATACAAGGCAGTAGATGATATCCAATCCTTCAAGGACTGCTATTTTAGGTGTGTACACGTGCAAAAACCACGTGGAGAAAAATGTCAGAAACGTCTTGGAGAAATACTTTTGCTGCATATATTTTGCATTTTGGCAGGTGAATGGGATTCCTCTGATTGGAGAGTCCCATAAAGAGGTGGTCAATATTCTGAAGGAGCTGCCAGTGTGTGTTTACGTCGTCTGCTCTCGCATCGTTCCGCCTTCAGTTCGAGCGAGCGATGTGGACGATGATGACGCCTGTCTCAGTCTCAAAGATCTGCTGGCTGAGTTCAATGACAAGGTGAAGGCTCAAACTGATGAAACAGCATTGTTGAAATCCATTTCTTTAAAATAAATAAAATGTTAACTACTTTACATTTGTTATTTTCTTATATAAATCTCCATTTAAAATTCAGTCATATCGTAAATTCTGTTGAATCTGTCTTCTTGTCCCAGCTGGACCAGGGTTGTGTCATCCCCTGTCCTACAGCCGAGGACATTACCAAGCGTGGCGTGCCTCCTATGTCACCTCCTCTGGCCATGTGGGAGAAGGAGGCTCAAGTGGTTGAGCTGGAAAAAGGCGAGTCGGGACTGGGCTTCAGTATCCTGGACTACCAGGTCAGAAACAAAAGATGAAACCAACTGGAAAAAGTTGCAGGCTAAAAATAAGAGTTAGTCTGAATAAAGTACACATTTTAGGAAACACAGGTAGAGTTCTCTTTAATCTGTAAATCGTTGCTCGCTGACTTGCAAAGAAAGAAATCAACACTATTTTTCAAGTCTTTCATTGTGTGAAAGCTGATTCAACATTCAAATAATTACTTTCCCATTTATTTGTGTTTTCATACATCGTGTGCAATTTAACTTCTGCATTTGTGCTCTTAGTCTTTTACGTATGGAAGTCTTCAACTCATTCAGCAGATGAGTCCTGTGAATTTTAGTCTTCTGCAGTGCAGTGGGCAAATGAGTTGTCTCTTAGTGAGAAGGTAACAAAATAATCCAACATTTTTCAGTCAGGTCATCAGGACAGTTTCTTTTTTTGTGCTGAAACGTTTCACCTTCCATCCAGAAGGCTTCATCAGTTAAGGAAACACACAAAACAAAACTGATTATCAATCAATCAACCTTTATTTATACAGGTAAATCCCATTGAGCCTCGAGGACTCATTTACAAGAGAGACCTGATTAAATTTGATTATTCCCCCATCAGCTTACTCTAAAGAGGAACAAACCAGTTATGTTGGTGCTAAGATGGTCTCTTTGGCACACACCCTCCTCCGGTGCCGGCCCTCTTCCTCATTGACAGTCTTGTCAAACTGGTTCAAAATCAACAAAGTCCATGCTCAACTGATTCTTCCCCCGGAGGAGGGTGCGTGCCAAAAAGACCATCTTAGCACCAACATAACTGGTTTGTTCCTCTTTGGAGTAAGCTGTTGGGGGAATAATCAGTTTTGTATTGTGCATTTCCTTGACTGTTGAAGCCTTCTGGATAGAAGGTGAAATGTTTCAGCACAAAAAAAAAACTGTCCAGATGACCGGACTGAAAATTGTTGGATTGTGTACCTGGATTATTGAGCATGGACTTTGTTGTAACAAAATAACCTTCCTGGGGACAGTTTACATGTTCTCCCAGTGCATGCATTGGTTTTCCTTGGGTACACTGGTTTGCTACATGGTTTCTTCCCATAGTCTAAAAATATGTATGCTAGATTTAATAATAACTTTAAAACTTGTTCCAAGGTGTGGGTGAAAAAGTGGATGGCTTGTCTCGATGTGATGCCGTGAGAGATGTGCGACTTGTCCACAGTGTCCCCTGTCTCGACCACAGTAACCGCTGCAGATCGGCACCAGCTGCTCGTAACTCAGAAAGGAAAAGCGAGTGAAGAAAATGGATGGATGGAACTTTTATCATTTTCAAATTAGTTAACTTCATCCATCATCTTGATCTGCTTCTTCGTTTTTTGAGTTGCCTGTGTCAGTGATGCCCATGTCCAGCAATCACTGTGCGAGAGGTGGGGGACACCCTGGACAGGTCTTCAGTCCATCACAGGGACACATAGAGACAAACGAGACAAACAACCATTACCTCTCTCTCACACCTAGGGACAATTTAGAATCACCATTCAGCCTAACATGCATGTTTTTTGGGAGGAAACCGGAGTACCTGGAGAAAACCCACGCATGCACGGAGAGAACATGCAAACTCCACCCAGAAAGGTCCCTGGCTGGGATTCGATCCAGCAACCTTCTTGCTGAGAGACAACAGCTCTGCCAACTGAGCCACCGTGCCGCATAGTTAATTTCACAGTATTTACAAAAAAAAACTTTACAGAAATACTTTGTACATTGATATCTTTTCAATTTCTTCAAAACCACCAAACTTTTTCAAATCTGCTTCAACATTCTATATTTTGGGTTTCTTTTTTACTTTTTTATGCTACTTTTGCATTTTAGCTACACTTTTTCCATTTTTAACCTTTAGCTAGCCTTTTCTAACTTTTAACTTGCAGTAACTGTTTTACAACTTTTGTTAGCCTTTCATTTATTCTTATTTTATTGATCATTTTGTTACTTTAGCTTTTAGCCAGCATTTTTTTTTTCAGCATCATCTCAGTTTAATTTTTTTCAGCAGTCATTCTGTACTCAGCATTCACATTGAATTATTTTTAACTGAAAATGCATTTTTTCTACCATTCTTTTTTCTTTATTTTCGATCTTTTTATGTACATGTTTAGTAAAACACTATCTTCCACTCTATGTTTAACTTTAGGATCCAGAAGACGCCTCAAAAACAGTCCTGATAATCCGATCCTTGGTACCTGGAGGTGTAGCGGATCAAGATGGCCGCCTGCTACCTGGGGACAGACTAGTGTTTGTTAATGAAACAGACCTGGAAGGTTCCAGTCTGGATTATGCTGTGCATGTTCTTAAGTCCACTGACTATGGCCCGGTTCGCATCGGTATTGCCAAACCACTGCCGGTAAGTCAGACTAAATGAAAAAATATTTTTTTCTTTATTTTGTTGTGTTTTTAAAAAAAAATGTGGGATTGCATTCATTTTGTATCAAGTGGGACATTTATAATTGAACTTTATTAAATTTTATTACCCTCTGCCATAAAAGGGGAAATCATGTCATTGTCTGTGTCTGTTAACAAAATATCTAACGAACCACTGGATGTATTTAAATTAAATATTCAAAGCAATGATTAAACCTATAATTACAACTAACTTTAGGAGTAAACTTAATTCAAGATGGCCACCTCAGCACACTGACCTTAGCAAACACAACAATGTCTCCAACTCAGTAAGTTTTATAGGTACAGTACAAGGTTCTTTATTGTCATTCACATCACATCTGGTTTTTGGGGTGGAATGAAATTGTGTACTCAAGCTCCCAGTTACACCCAAAAATAGCAACAAAAGAATATAAAGTATAAAAAGAAACAATATACAAGGATCTGAGAACAAGTTGAGCTGATTTTATTGTTGTTGTGTGTTGTTTTTACTGTCACCTTATGTTTTTGAGTGGCACTAGATGCATTTTTACTCTTTATTATTTTTTAATCTGTCTTAACTGTAAAGCACTTTGGTCAGCTTTTGTTGTTTTTATGTGCTATATAAATAAATTGACATTGATCTGATATACGCTAAACATTAATAATGTAAAATAGAACAGTATAAAGCCGCAGCCTGAATTTTGATATTCTGTATATGGAGGACAATTTAGGACAATTTCTGTATATTCTGTAAATGTATTGATATTCTGAATATGCTGTAATATATTACAGCAGCCTTATAGATATTGAACTAATATTTTGTGTGTCAGTAGTTGAGAGAGATTCCAACACTTTACACTTACAGATCGCACAAGCTTATTTGGGCACATATATATG